TGCATGCATGTGTTTGCCTTCATGCCATATAAATAGCCTGCATACACGTGTGAGTCCGGCCTGCATGCATGTGTGTGCGTCCCTGCAAGCATGCATGTTGTGTGTCCTGCCTACGTGTGTGTGGGTGTGCCTGCATGCTGGGCGTGCATGTGCAAGTGTGTGTGTGTGCATGTGTGTGTGCACCTATGTGTGCATCCATGTGTGAGTGTGTCCATGCTTGTGTGCCTGCCTGCATGCATGTGCATGTGTGTATGTGTGTGTGGGTGGGTATGATGGCCAAGGGCTGTTGAGAAAGGATGTGAACACCTGGAAAGTTCCAGCATGTCCTGATGGGTGTGGGAGAAATGGGAAAGAAGGAGACAGCCAGTGATGACCAGGGGTGGGCTGGGCTGGACTGGGCTGGGGGGCAGGAGGTGTGCCTGAGACCCTGCTCCGGGCTCTGTCGAGCTCTGCAGTCTTGGGTAAGTCATTGAACCCCGTGGCTTTGTTTCTGCGACTAAGAAACGAGGTTCCTTTGGGGGGAGAGGAGGAGGTTCCTTTGCGGGGAGAGGAGGAGGGGTGGAGAGGTGGAGCACAGGAGGTGTTCAGGGCGATGAAACGCTTCTGAATGATACTGTAGAGTGAGTGTGTGACATCATGCATTTATTGTTAAAGCTCATAGAACATACAACACAGACCGTGAACCTTAATGTAAACTATGGACCTCAGTTAACTATGGACCTCTATTAACAACAGCAATAGAGCGGTTCCTAGTAACTGCCTGCTCGGCGTGAGGCCCGAGTATGTATGTGCCACAAGAGCCTGGAGGGTAAGGTGACTGGATGAGTGTGTGCCGTGCAGGCACGTGGGACCCCTCCACACACCCCCATGTTGCCTTGCTCCCCTGGTACCCCCTGCCCCAGGGACCCCCACCTGCTCCGCAGCCAGAACACCCAACAGCCACTGCGAGCTTCTAATGATCCCCGGCTTAGGGGTCCGAAGCTGCTTTTGCTGCGTGACTGTGGGGAGCTCTCCAGATTCTGACCAAGGCCAGGAGCCCAGCGACCTTTTTTTTTTTTTAAAATCCTCACCCGAGGATATTTTTCCCATTGGTTTTTAGAGAGAGTGGAGGGGAGAGGGAGAGACAGAGAGAAGCACTGATGTGAGAGAGAGACATCGATTGGTTGCTTCTTGCTGCCCCCGACCAGCGCTGGGAGCCTGCAACCGAGGTACCTGCCCTTGACCAGAATCGAACCCGGGACCCTTCAGTCCACAGGCTGATGCTCTATCCACTGAGCCAAACTGGCCAGGGCCCTGGGGGCTTCTTTAGTGGCTCTTCGGTGCCTCTGGGCAGGGTAGTCATTTTTCCAGAGATGGGAAGAGAGAAGCCTCTGTGTTGTGCTTGGGTGAGGGACGTTGAGGGGTGCCCCCCTCCCCAGGAAATGTGGCACCTGGAGGAAGGAGAGGAATTGCTCACAGGCCTCCTGGCCACAGGAAGGCGCGTCTGTCTTCAGTGTTCGGCTCCAGATGCGACAGCCCCCACAGCCGTCCTGGCCTGTGGCCGGCTCCTCCC